ATATGATAGGTTTCGAAACAACTGGTTGTTTTAATGGTTTTCGAAGTTGACACGGGAGACAATGCCTTAAGAATATTTCTACAACAGCTCTAGGTACCCATGAATAATGCGAATTAATTTCGTTTAGAGTTTTAGTTCTACCGCCATGTGATACATTTAAATTTTTTTATTTTTTTATTTTTCGAACAACAAACAATATCAGTTCCAGCAATTTTCTGAATTATAAAGCCCAAAATACGAACTGTGTAGGAACTGATTCCGAAGATGTACCTTTATCTAATAGTAAACTTTTGAGTATTTTATCATATGTTTCTTTTCTTATGAATGTTTTCTCTCGATACTTTTCTTGTAATGAAGCAACATATTTTTTAACGTCATCAAAAAACCCTTTTTCAGAACCATCAGTTATACCAGGTGCGCAAGGAAGAGATGAAGTGTCTGTAGAAGACAAGGTAGTAACAGATGATGAAGCAACAGCTGACATCCTAATTATTTAAAAGAATAATTAAAACTTAATTACCTTTAAAGCTGAACAGAAACTTGTCGATAATACTTTAGTAATTAACAAAGTAGAAAATATTCAAAAAAGAAAGTAATAATCTCTTTAAGCAGAAGGATAAGATTCTTTATAATACTCTTTACAAAACAGTTGCCAGTTAAAATGGTTGCTGATTACCGCCAAATACAACTTATTTATATAATCTCATCCAACAGTAACGGCAGGCGAGGAATTAATGATAAAATGTTCACAAGATGATCGAATGTAGCATCTAATCTGATCAGAGAACAATTACATAAAAGAATTAAACCCTCGGAATATAGAAAAGAACGAGTTAACGCATTTGGCTGCGTTCTTTTAATAATTAATAAGTTTACAAGATTATAAAAATTTAAATAACAGTTGATTGCATGATATATCAATATGATATTATATAAAAAGTATGATTATCAATTTTAAATAACAATTGCATTTCACTCCTGTAATATCTCAGATTTGCCAAGATTTCAATTTTGACCAATATTTCTCTAGTCAGAACTAGAATTCCAGTTTTGCCCGTACATATATACGCAATATAAGCGTCAGTGCTGTAAATGAAGAAGAGAAGACATATAAGTCTTACATGTATACAGGGTGGCTCATAAAAAGCTTATCCATTCTGTATTTATTGGGTTACTTGTGTACAAATATAATTGAACTTCTTAGCGTCAGTTTAGTCGAGTAGAACAAAGAGTTCTGGACAAAATAAGACGTCTCCAAGCTTTTCTCATGAAACAGCATTCAATTTACGACAGGCCCTAACAGCATATCTTTCTTGTTTTCCCGTTAATTGTGCTGATTTTGATGGTATGCGACCCTTTTGTATATGGCATAGACACGGCCATCTCCAACACTCAACAGTATTCTTAATGTTTATTTTTTAAAATGTGTAATCAACAAGTGCTCGATCATAAGAACGAGAAAATAAACAACAAAAAGCACATAGAAAAAAACGATATAATACTTTAATATACAACCGGTTAAAATAAAGATAATATCTAGTTTTTATAGAAGACAAATGTGTTTCGTATAAATGGAATAAAACATTAGTTGAGAAAATAGTTACCTGTTATACAACAAAACATTAATTATACTAAAATATAATAAACAACAATAACCCGGAAAAGTGGACTTATGACGAGACAAAACAGCCAAAAATCTTTGTACGAACCAGTGTGCGATCGCAAAAAATATCGTAATTGTCAGTATGTCGATGGTTAATATGAATTAAAGGTAGTTTCTCGGAAGCCAATAAAAGAAATAATTAGAAAATATTGTCGAAAAGAGCCATTCTGTATCGGACAATTAAGATAATAACAAAATATAAGACTAAATTAGTTAAGGTCGAAGCATGGTTTCATTTTGTGGTGATTGTTGTTGGCCAGATGACGAGGTAGTAGTTGACTGCTGTTGTCCAGAGCCTCCGGAGACATTCGATAACACTGTTTTAAACATTTGTCCTCGTATATAGCTTCCAGCAACATCGGATAGTTTTTCGTTTGACCCAAATTTACATCTTATAAATCCATACAAATTAGCAATGTTCAGTACCAATGCTACACCTGTAATTAACTAAATGGTAAGGAAAAAAATTATTAAGCATATCTAAATGACGCCCTTGAAGCATGGTTGTGCTTGTTCGATGAAACTTGAAAACTTTCATCGATCAATCAATCCTGCTAAGAATTCTTATATGAGGAAAAACAACTTACGATATATGTAGGAGAGAATAATGTCGTGATGGTGAATATGATCCATAAAAGAACGGTAAAAATTAATGATAACCAGAAAATGTTTGATTCCAATGCTGAGATGGCATTTTTCTGTACACCCTACACAAAACGAAAAATAAAGGTTAAATTTTATGTCAAAGACGTGGTTATGTTAACATACCTTTTTTGCTTCAAAAATCCAATGACTTTCTCCAGTATCATCAACATAATTCCACCATCGCAAACCGGCTAACAATCTACCGGTAATATTTTTAACTGTCCAAAAATCCATTGATAAAAATATAATAACAACTATAAAACATACGGCAAAACTCTTGTTAATAAAACTCCAGGAACATACAAAGTAAGAAACGATAGCTAATGAACGAAATATCATATGGAAGAACAAAGCAATCGGATGCCTAAAATGATACAGTAATGTACTTTTTTCTTCTTCACATCTATTCAGCTACAAACTTACTTTATTTTTCTTGATGAACTCAGTGAACTATCGTATGCCTCCAGAATTTCATGTTCATCAGATAATAACTGTGCCATGTACAACAAATAAACCTTTGCTCTACAAAAAAATTATGAGAATGGACAAACAAAGAACAAAACTGATTTTCCATCAGATAAACAAAAGAAATTAAAACCTATTTCAGATGATTTTTTTCAATATTCTTTCGATCGTTCCAGAACAGTCAAAGGAAGTCATTTCAACTTTAAACACATGAGTTTTTCTCATTCATTTTTATCTGCAAATCCCAAAAGAGCATAAACAATGAATCTTTGAAATGAAATAAGTGCGACATTTAACAATTTTCAAAAAAACTTGACAGACTACAGCCATCCCAAAAATGGAGCTTAAATTTTACTGGAAAAATATACCATATCATCTCAGATTTTCGTGAAACTTAGCCAGTATTTAGCAATATTCGAATTAAAAAGAATTCTAAACTTTCATTTCAGCATTCATCGCTATTTCCTTTCTAAATCATTACAAAACAAAGGGGAATCGATTCTTGTTTTCTTAAAACTGAATCGAAAAATTCAAAATCTAAAGTCGAATGGAGGTGAAAATTTTTTCCAATGCATAAAGACATAAAAAAAATGTTACAGATCTACAGAGATCTGCCTTTCGCTAAATAATATCGCTCTATACTGAATGGCAGTAAAGAACTTATAGCACCAAAACACGCACATTCTGCTTTTTCCTGGACGTAGGAAATATTGAGTTATCCAAATTTTCTACTCTACAAATTCTAAATAACTTCGAGATTTATCAGACTTTTTCCGACACAGCAAAGAGTTTCTGAAGTTTCGGGATGAATCCCAGTTCTGATGATATGAACCAAAACATAAATGGAGATACTTAGAGAAAATCTAATCACGTAATAGAAATAAGGATCGTCATACATGAACGATAAAAATACTCAGTACCTAACTAAGATAACAATTCTGCTTCAGGTGTATTTATGTGCCAGGGTATTTTTTCCATACTAGTACTCAAAAAAGCTGGTGTTAAATCATTTCTATAAAAAAGTGACTTTCTTGAAGAACGAAAAAGTCCAGGAGTCCTGTTTCCATCATTTGAAAAACACAAGCATAAATAGAAAACCAACATACAGCAATTGAAAAACGTGCACACCGTAATCTGGAATGGCAAACAAAGAACAGTCATCGGTTTTTCCCGTGACGTTAGTCTAGAGTCTTACGAAATGGTTGTCTGTCTGTGTGTGTGTCTGTCACAGACAGTCTGTGTATCTGTGCGCAAAACACGGAAAAATGACTGTTAGATATTCCATGGATAAGCCAACCACAATTACAAGAGAGAAAAGTAGAAAATTATATTTTACATGGAAGAGGAAATATTCAAAAAGATGACTGAAATAATATTCTATTTACTGATATAGAGAGAGAAAAACCATAGCAAACCTTTTCTGTAGGTGGTGGTAGATGTCGCTACGAAATCAGTCAATTTTGATAACATCAATCAAAATTCTCTGATAATAAAAGTTACAGAATATAGATAATCTATCATGGTGAATCCATAAGAAATACTTGCAGCCTCCTTGGGATCTTCATAAGATGTCCCAAAACCTTTTTCCTTTATATTACATTCCCTAGGGGAGACTCCCGGCCAAAGTCCCGGAAAAAAGTCCGGCGGGAGTCACAAAAATGCTGCGAATGTCGATGACTATGGTCTAAAAAAGCAAGTCATCGATATTCGCAGCCATATTTATCAACAAGTAAAACAGCTGCTTTTCTAAAAAATAGATCAGCGTCGTGTACAACTCGTGTACTTTAAACTAGTATGAAAGATAGAAATGGGTATACTATAGTTAGTGTAATGTTAGTACGCGAAGTTGGTGCAATACGAAATGAGTTTACAGTGAGCACTCGCCTCCTTTATAAAAGATCAACATTGGATGAAAATTTGTTACTTTCTGATTTTATCCTTTAAACAGAAAAATGTTTGCTCTTATAGATGCCTGTTAAAATAAAACGAACACATTGGAAGTATATACATGCCGATGTGTATCAACAGTACAATCAAAGAAACAGAAATTATACAAAATAAAATAAATTAGAATTTAAACTCTGACATGCTCCCAAATCAATATAAAGAATTACTAAATAAAAGATGTAGGCGTAGATGATCTTAGTATGCAATGAGTTTTTATCATGTAAAATTATGAAATTTTTTATGACGTATAGTCTTCAACACTTCTTTGCTGATTCAGCAAAGAAGTGTTGAAATTTCGTTCAGCAATGCTGAACGAAATTTCTTTACAACTATCTGGACTATATATTTCGATTAAGCGTAGACACAACTTTTTATATTTGACTGAATTCTTGAAAATAAAATAAGAAAAATTATTAACTAGTTTTATAAACTGTATAGTTAATTAATTTAAACTAACTTTATACAAATATATCTGATAGAATCTCTGTACGAGGGCAACGACTTTCGAGTCTGTAACGACAGTTTCTGTTTATGTTTTTGAAAATGACCGGTTAAAGGTCGAAATATCAACAAATAAAGGTATGAAGTTCAAAACAGCTGCAATTATTATTATATTTTTTATATCTGATAGAAATTGTTATGTCGTTAATTCACATAAATCATCCGGAAAGAAGCTTACAATGGAACAGTTTATACTGTCAAGCCGCTTTCAAGTTCAGAGCATGTGTATAAGATAGACCCCGGTGAGGTATAAAAAAACCCAAAAGGCTATGTGCTGATGGGCCTTCCCTCTAGAGTTACAGTCATTATACTGGAATTTTAGCCTATTGCACGGTATCTACCAAAAACACTAATCACGATATCTCGACCTGAGATTTTGCCCACAAGTATGCCTACTTGTAACTAGAATGTTCTGCAAATTTCAGTTCCAAAAATGTTTCCATCATAAGATATTGAGTTTCCCCAAAACCTGACATTCTCCAATCTTTTCGTAGAACATGAGTGATTTTGGAAATTCAATATCTCACGAAGGGAACATTCTTTTGCACTGAAATTTCCAGACCATTCTAGTTACTAGTAGGCCTACTTGTGGGCAAAATTTTAGGTCGAAATATCGTGATTAGTGTTTTTGCTAGATATCATGCAATAGGCTAAAATTCCAGTATAGTGACTGTAACTCTAGAGGGAAGGCCCATCAGCACATAGCCTTTTGGGTTTTTTTATACCTCACCGGGGTCTATCTGTTCGGGTTGTAATGTATCGCAAGAAGGAAAGTACGACATTATAAATATTCACAACATTCGCCAGCTAAGCATCAAAATAAAACATATCGTTTTCACACACATAACGGCACAAATACAAAGTACTAATATGTTAAAATCCGAAAGATATCGAGAATTTTATGGAGAGTATCCCACTACTATCTGCTTAAGTTATGCCCCATATTCCTTTTTGGAAAAGTGAAGCAACACGTTCAGCAAAGCATAGTAAAATACTTCCAAGTCATTATTCGCAATCAAATATAGTTGGCACTCTCAGAAAACGACAGGTATAAATCTGTTCCATTTTCTATTGTTTTGGATATAACTTCGATTTTCCTTGTAAATACCCAGGTCCAAAAAAAGGGCCCGTTAACGGCCAGTTAATCTCCAGTAAACGGTCACACAAAAAACGGCGCGTTAACGTTATGAAAACGGCAAAAAAACGCCCAGTAAACAAGTCGTTAACTTGCCGTTTTCAGTGTGGCCGTTTCACGGTCC